ACACACACACACACACACACACACACACACACACACACACACACACACACACTGGTAAACCCACCAACCTCAGATAAATCTGACGCTTCGTCAACTTGTAGCCTCTAACAGCAGCGAAAGGACCCAGGTCCTTCGCCACCTGCCCCCCAAAGACACTGCAAGAGTCCGCGGCGCCGCAGTAACCGCCTCCTGCTGCAGTCCGGACAGAGTTTCAGATCAAAATCCTTCCTTCGGGCTAGCGCTCCTCTGCCCCTCGCCCCGCTCGCATAGCTTCGACCTCCTTCCCGGGAGGCCCGGGAGGAAGCAGGTCACTTTGCGGCTTCTGAGGACGGGTGGAGAAGCAGCGACAGAGACTCCCACCGAAGGAGCCCAAGCCGAGTACCCTTCGCCCCACTCCCCGCCCGCACCCCCGCTCAGGTCTGGTGCTGCTGGCGAAGGGGGCCACTTGCCAAGGTGCCGGTGCTCACTCGGGGTGTGGGGATTCAGGCGGGACGGTGAGGAGGAAAGGCTCGGGGGGCGGGGGGTGGTTGACGGGGAACAGATGGGTCAGGTGAGGGGAGTGGGCGACCCGGCGCTCTCCAGCTCCTGGCCATCGCAACTCCGAAGCGCGCAGATGGACCTTGCCGTCTGAAAGGCCTTTCCTCCCTGGGCGCTCGCCTCCCTCCCGCCCCGCTCCCCGCCTAGACGTCTGCGGGAAAAGAAGGTGCAAGAGTACCTGGAGCGAATACCATGACTTCCTTCAGCCGCTACGCTCCTGGGTTCAGAGAGGTGGGTGAGCCAGAAGGCGGGAGCCGCCCGGAGATGGGGATCCGCGAGCGGACCGGAGCAGGCGGGCGCGCGGGCCGCGGGCGGGACGGTCAGCACCTCGGACAGCTCCACGCGCGCGGTCCCGGGCTGTGGTTCGGCGCTGGGTGCGCGCTGCCTCCACAATGCACCGCTGCGCCGGCGGGAGGAGGAGACCCAAACGGGCTCAGCTCATCCTTGGTCCCCGCGCCAGCACAGCGTTCTGCCGCTGAGGGAGCAGGGCGCTTCTACCGCTTCCATCCGAGCAGGAAGGACGGAAGGGGAAGTCAGAGAGAAAGGTAATTGCCCGGTTTCCCGGCAGGGACACGACTAATTGCTTCTAATTACTTGCTGTCACTCACCCCCAGGGATGCCGGGCTGACATTTAGGATGAGTTTGTACCTTTCCCCCACATCGCACTGGAGTTTACTCCAGAGGCTAACTAAGTCTGAGTTCTCGGAGTCTAACTGGCTCTGAACAGAAGGAGGGACCGCCAAGTTAACCCATCTTTCGTGTTCACAATTTCTCTGCCTGTCTCAGGCCTCTCCAAACGTAAACAAGAGAGCTTAAGGAGAAAACCAGCTTGACTGTGGAGTGCATGAGGAGGGCGCCGCTAAGGAGCCCTGTTCCCTCGTGACAGCTAGGTTGACTCCCATAATTGCAGGTTCTCAAGGTCATAGCCTCGGAGGAAACGGCGTTAGCCAGGGCAAAGGAAAATCCAGATGAGACAGGTCTCAGACAAACCTAAGCAGAGCCACCATATTCCTGAGATTGAGGACAAACCCCAAAGCTTTCCCAAACCTGGCTCAGTGGGTATCTGCTCCCCTTCGTCACACCTGACCTTACCCTAAAGACACCAGGACCTGCTGGATGATCATTGCAGGCTCCTAATCCATTGCTCTCTAGAAGATATCTATTCTCCAAATTATGTTTGTTCATTGTGGGCAACCCACATTAGACGACCCTAGCTTGCAACAGGTGCATGTGGGTTCTGATGCCAGAGTCAAAACCACATAAGGATCCATTTCCCTTGGCTTTTATCCTCCATTTCTGCAGTTGAATGAGGTTGCCAAAGAACAAAGGCAGTAGAGCATTCTCTGTAGTTCTTTGGGCATTCTTCATCTTTCCCCTGAAACAGTCTAGGTATTCTGAAAACACAATATTAACAATTTGATTTGGAGGCCATGAGCTTTGCTCTGTTTTGGCAGATATAAGCATTCCAACAGCCAGGCTGGCATTTGGGTTTGTTCAAAGCCACAATAGGTTGAAAATACAAATAGTTTCACAGCTCTTGAACTACAGTTTTCGGGGAGGCATATGGGCAGCTTCACTGTAATACAATCAGAACTGCTCTTAGCACCTGGTGTCACACAAGGTGAAACAGATGGGGACTGTCTCAAGATGCAAGTCAGCCGATGGGCAAGACAAATGATATGCACGAAGGGATGGAGTCTTCTCATATCCCAAAGTTACACTCAAACCTCTGGGGCCAAAGATTCTCGACCTCTCTTGTTTCAGCACCATAGGATTCATGATGCACTACTTGAAATATGTTTGAATGACAGGCCAACTGTCTTTAAACACTCCTTTTCCACCTTTATTTTTTTTTACAACTTTATTTCAAACACCTCTTATTCTCCTAAAGTATAAATAAATATCATGGCTAGATTCAAGAAAAAATATAATGTAAGAACACTTAAAAAATGTTTAAGGGTCAAATCAGATCCAAACATAGGTATGACACCTTCAGCATTTATTCACTGTATAACCTTGGATACATCAACTGACTTATGTCATCTCATCTGTATTATAAGGACTGAGGCATCTGGAAGCCTTGCTGTGAAGACTCTCTGAAATATGGATTGTGAGTTAAGAAAAAGTAAGGGGGCCAGATGTGGTGGTGCACGCCTTTAATCCAAGCACTCTGGAGGTAGAGTCAGGCAGATCTCTGTGAGTTCCAGGACAGCCAGAGCTACATAGTGATTCCATGTCAAAGAAAGACAGAGAGAGAGAGAGAGAGAGAGAGAGAGAGAGAGAGAGAGAGAGAGAGAGAGAAGAGTATAGCATGACCCATTTAAACTTATTCCAGAAATCAATGACACCCTGGGAGAATGTTATGCTCTATGGGAAAACAAATTAGTAGATCGGTGCCTCATGGATATTAATGTGCCCATGAGTTCCACGGGGACCATGGTAAACTGTAGGCTGTGAGTCAGTAGGCTACAGTAGATCCTGAGATACTTTATTTCTAACCAGTTTCAGGTAATGTCCATTCTGCAGGGCCTTATACTATCCTTTAGTGGCCAGACAGCAGATATATCAGCATTTTTTTAAAAAAGCAATTATACCTCCCCCAAACCAATAACTTACCTTTCCAAACATTAAACAGAAAAGAAACCCAGACAAAGTCCCACAGAATGCTAGGATAGGCAATAACCAAAATAGTAGGAGAATTTAAATTAAAATAGATAGATAATAGATAGATAGATAGATAGATAGATAGATAGATAGATGATAGATAGATAGATAGATAGATAGATAGATAGATAGATAGATAGATAGATAGATAGAAA